AACCTAAATGGTTAAAATATTAGATAAAGTTCTAAAATATAAATTAAACTATTCTATAATATATCTCTTCAAGTAAAAACTCTTTAAGCTTAAAACTTACACAAGCCCATCATTATCTTTTGGTGAAATCTCTTTAGGTTTTAAAACTTTTATAGATACACAATTATATTGTACTTAATTTTATTAATTTTATTAGTTATAATGAGAATGGTAAGAATCGAACTCATGACTATTTGATCATGAAAGCATTAATATTATATCAAAAAAACATCTCAACCTATAAACCTAAGTTGTTAAGTTTAAGATATGATTTATACTATAATAGTTTTTTTATCATTTTGCAATTGTTCATTTTAGTCCTCTGTTTTCTTTTATTTCTTTATTTTCATGTTATATGTGAATGTTTTAAAACCTAATAAACCCATTTGATTTACATACTACATCATGTTTTCCTTGTTAAAAGAAGTCTTGTCCTTACATGATATTAATGCTTAATCTTGCTAAATAGTATTTCAATTTGTCGATTAAAAACCAAAAAACAACATAGATCAAATTTAACACAAAAAAGATGCATCCTTTTTTATTGTTTATAAGGTGCAAAAAGTATACTATGATCTCTAAAGTTTTTTAATTTTTCATTTTTAATCTATATGTTTTGAGGGTTTCACATTTTAGTTTTTAACTTTATTTATTTTACATTTCAATCCCTAAAAATTGAGATGAAAGAGAAAGCCTTCATAAAATTATGAAGGGGAAGAGAAAGTGGTCGATCGGCCATATTTATTTACACCAAAAAAGGATGATTTAGTATTACTAAGGTATTTTAAGCTTTCATTTTAATGGAAAATTATATTAGGGTTGAAAAGAAATTTTTTTATTTGGTTTAATTTTTTTTATTGATTTAAGGGTGTTTGGGGTTAACAATTGATTTCGTGATCTTTTCTAAATGGGTTTTTTAGTCTAAAAAACCATAAACTGACTTTTCTTCCATCTCTATGGTGACTAGAAATTAATCAAATACATTATATGTTGTATTTTTTAAAATAAATAAAAGAGGAGAAATTGATACATCAATCTTCTAGCTCCACAGAGCATCTAAAAAAAATATCAAATGATTCATTAGTAATTGACTAGCATTTTCTAAGTTTATAACCACAAAGATGACCACCGCACATGATGAGGTATTGTTTGTCATTAAAGAAAAAGAATTTATATGATACTCATTACTTATAAAAAAAAAATCAAAATACAAAAAGCCCTAATAAATGTTGTTTATTTCATCACAACCACCATCATAAAACTATATAATGTCATGTTCTAGAAAAGGAGATTGAAATATTGATCTTCATGTGTTATCTTCAACAATTTATAAAGAAAGAAATATAATCTGAATAAATAAAAAAAGGTTCTGCAATATATTACTTGAGATGAGAAAATATTTCAAACTTTTTAAAAAATGTAATAATGTTTCTCTATGTCTCATAATAAATCTTTCATGTCTCAAAACAAGTCTCTATGTCTCCAATAAAATCTTCATGATGAGATCTTCATGTCTTAGATAAAAATATTCACGTGTCTATACAACATCTTCTTATATAATACTTTAACACTGTTTTTACAATTACAAAAAAAAAATTATTTTTTAAATAATAACATTTCATACTCCAGTCTTTCATCTCTCTTACAAGTAAACTTTCATCTCTTTCACAATAAAGATAACAAGAGATACAAAAAGGTGATATTACATATATGTTTTTTATTCTCATCTATTTTTACTAATTAAGTCTTCAAACATGAATGTTTAAAAGACTGAAAGCAAATAATGATGCATAAAATTTTAAAAACAAAATCCTAGTTGTTTGTGTTTTGACCTCACCCTTACCATAAGTTGTCCAATATTCTTGACCTACTCACACACCTTGATGTATGTTTTGAGTTTAGATAAGCCAAAGCAATGTTATAAACCATCCATTAGCACATATAAGTTTTACGGTGTGCCTTATAACCACCTTCTAGTGTTTGTGGCACACATCAAATTTGTCAGGCAGAGAAAAAACATGAACTTCCTCATTAATAACACAATAAACACAACAAACAAGGACTTATATTTTTAAGTATTTTCCATCATCACATCATTATTCACAAGGTAAGCTGATATGATCAAAATCTATAAATACCTTGGTTTACCAGGTAAAACATAAAAGTTAGGCAAGTTCTTTGAAGAGCTTCACATCAATTTATTCAACAAACACACAATTCTTGTGTTTTTTTATTTTCCTTTGTATAATATTTTCTCTTCTTATGTTTATTAACTTAAGTATTAGATGATTTTCTATTCCAACAAGAAAGTTATTTTGATGAAAACATCAAACATACAAGCTGAGTCACCTTAGTCCATGAGGTAGCTGTGGAAAGTTTAATCTATTCGTGAAGTTTTCATGACTTTGAGTGTGTTTGAAATTATGGTAATAGTGACGATTCAAAGTACTTTTGGCTTAGAATTGCATTAAAATAATTTTTTATTTTTTTAAAATTATTTTTGATATCAATATATTAAAACGATTTGAATATATATATATATATATATATATATATATATATTCATTTTAAGTAAATTGCATTCCCAAACTGGCCTCCATCATAAATTATAAGGAGATTGAAGTTAATTAAAGTGTGTTTGGGAGTGTGGTTGTAATTGTTTTTTAAAGTGTTTTTCATTCAAACAAAGTATGCCAATAATGTTTTTTATTTTATAAAAATTATTTTTAAAATTAACACATTAAAATAATTTAAAGACATCAAAAATATATTAACTCAAAGCAAAAAAATTCAATTTTTTTTTAAAATATTTTTAAAACACGGTGTCAAACACACCCTTAATGGATGGAATGACACTTGACAAGTAGTGCGCTTGGTTGAAATGGTGATGATTTTCTATTGTAGTTTTTTAAGCGTATAAAAAATTTTCAATTAGATTTTCATGTCATAAATTGATATTTTTACATTACATAATTTTTATTTTTCAAAGCATTCAGGCTATTTGTTTGTGATATATAAAAATAAGATATTTTTCATATATTGTTTTAACACTTGAGTAATGAAGATTTATCATGCATATTAGTTTTTTTATATTTTTCAATGACTGGGAAGAGAATGTATCCATGCATAAGCTTGGAGAATACGAACTTAGGAAGAACAGGCTTATTCTCGTTAAAAAACATATTTTAGTTAGAGGCATACTAGGTAGTTAAGCTGTGGGACAGAGCAATTTTGTCTTTTCAGTGATTAAAAAGAATGTGCTGGCACTGTAAGTGTTTACAAAAATAAAAATAAAAATTGAGTTTGTGTGAGGAAAACTTAATGCATATTACTAAAATAAACTGAGAATCTAATGCGAAAAAAAATATAATTCTTTACATGCAATGTTCTTTATCTAATTAATGAGCACTCAAAATAATCATAATAAATTAAAAAATAGTGGAAGATTTGCAATAATAATTACCACACCGGACATGGTGAGCATATAAAATAAAAACTTGCTTGAGAATAGAGTAAAAATAAAAATAAAAATATTATGATTAATAAAAAATTTATTTGATTCAAAAATATATGACGAGAGAATGATTATATTAAATAGAATATATTGTTATTCTAAAATATCCTACTTAAAATAAATAATATTATTAATTTTATTTTTTATTTCTAACAATTTATTTTGTCTAATCTATGGATGGTGTATCTTTAAGGTGATGTCTAGCGGTTTACCATTGTTTTTGAAGGTCAAACCTATATATTTTATGGTATAATTCATTTTTATAGCTCATAGTTATTATATTTGTTTTCCCTTGTGTTTTGTCATCTTAAGCCCTGTTTGATTAGCTTTTAAAGAGGGCAGCACGCTCCTTTTGTCATTTGGTCTGCGACGCTTTGCCACTTCTCTTTTTGGTCAGGGTGAGTTGGGATTCTTGGGTTTCGTTCACTTTCTTTGATGGACTAAAGCTTCTCTTTTTTTGTCTTTTCCATTTTCTGTTTTTGTTTGCTGATCCTTGGACATTTTTCCACCTTCTGGTTCGATTTTGCAGCCGTCTCTTCCTCTGTTGTTTCAGTTGATGCTAGCTTTCGTTTTCTTTATCGTTATGCTAGCTGTGTCCTTTTTCATTTTGTCTTACTGGTTTTTCAGGCTTGGCTTTCCATCTATTTGTGTCTGGGTTGGCAGGGTTCCATTTGTTTTTCTTCGCCCGACTGATTCTACCGTGGATGACCTGCTCTGCCTGGTGTTCTTTCCTTTCTTATTGCTTCATTTTATTTGATTTGGCCATCTTTTCATGTTGTGCTATACTTTTCTTGTTCTTTCCTATGCTGTTGCACCCGTTGTTTTTTATCTTCATGTTTTTTCCTCCTGTTTTGCTGAGCATGATGTGTGTTGTCTGTTAAGATGTTTGATGCTTGGCATCTTTTTTAGCTGGTGCTTTTGTTGCGAAGGCTGGTTCTCCTCCTGCCTTATGGTATGTGGCTTTGCCACAGTTGATGTAATTGATCCGTTTCCCAGTAACAGCCCCCTTCTAGGTTATGGCTGTGTGAATGCAAGCATGTTTCGTGGCCTTCGGCAATGTGAGCCATTTTTTAGCTAAGATTTTTTATTTAGCTGGGAGTGTTAATATGCTGGCCACACGTTTGCCAGCAATGGATAACCGTGATTTTAATGTCTAGTGTGCTAGGAGAGTGGCCTCTGTTAGCCATCCAGATTAGGGCCTGTGCGTGTGAAGCTTGAAATCTCCCTGCAGATTTATTTTCTGGATTGTGAATTTGGCTGGGAGTGTCGATATGCTAGCCATCATTTCAAAAGTATCTTTAAAAAAATTTAAATTTTTTTTTTTTTTTTATAAATTAATATGTCTTTTTTTTATGTGTTCATCTTAAAAATTATTTTGAAAAATTAATATGTCTTTTTTCTATGTGTTCATCTTAAAAATTATTTTGAAAAAATAAAAAATATTATTATTATATATTTTAACATAAAAAATTATTTAAAAAGTAATCATAACCACTTACAAACATGCATACCAGGAGGGTTGCTTCTTTAGCCATCCAGAGTAGAACCAGTATGCGTGGAGCTTGGAATCTCCGTGCAGATTTTTTTGTTGGGTTTTGTGTTGGTTTATGCGGTGCTTATGTTGTTTTGGGTGCTTAGCTTAGCTGGGAACCTTTTGTTGCTGCTGAGCTCCTCTTTTCTTCCAATCTTTTGATTCTTTGAGGCTCAGTGTCATTTGGCAGGGGGGCTCTCAGCTAAGCTCGATTCTGTTGTGTATGTTAATCTAGACTGCAAGTGGAGAAATTATTTTGTTGCTTTATAAACAGCAGCTATTTCAGTTCTTTTCCTTCGCTTATGAATGTGAATTCATCTTTGTTCGATGTGTTTGACAGGGCCCTCTGATTGTCTTTGCTTGAACACCTTTCAAGCTGCTGGGCGTTCCTCTTGGTTCAGCTTGGTTCACATTGCCGTGAGCTTCTTTTATGCTTTAGTTGTAAGGTGTTGCCGCCTTCTTTTTTGTTGCCTCTATTCCATGCCTTTGAAGGACACCTTTGTTCTTTCTTTTCATGCTCTTTCAGTCTTTTTGCTTGGTTGCATTTTCCTCTTTCAGATTTCTGTTGTTCCCTTCATTTACATGCTTTTTTCATGCTTGACATTTTTTCACCTGCCAGCCACCTACAATATTTTGTTCATTCACCGGCACTTGCTTTTATTACGTGCAGGAAATCTGTGTAGCATTTCATTCCTTTCTGCCTCTCAGAAGGCTTCTTGAGATTAATTCGATAACGTGCTTTTACTGTTTTCATTTATGGTTTTTCCATGGCTGTTATAAAATGCACCTTCTCACTCTTGCCTGTATTGTTAACTGTTAATCATAACTTACTTAACCATCATGAAAACTGGTTGTTGATGTGTTAAGCTGTAGAAGAACAACAGGTCACAGAGAAGCAACGAGATTGTATCTCAAATGACCATACTGCAACAAACTAGCTACCCAATATTCAAAGTTTTGAAATCAACAAGATTGTATCTGTTTAAGTTGAATTTTAAACTCGTGTGATATACATGCAAATATGTGGGATAGCAGTTAGTATTATTTTCTATTTAAACTCTCTATAAATACACATACACATAGTAATACAAGAGAACATTACAGCATTTTAGCATTCTTCTTCACAATTATATCTCTACTTACATGGTATCAGAGTCCTTAAAAAGACAAATGACAAACGACAAACATCTTTTCTTTTTTAAATTCTAAATGGCCTGCTCAACCTACTTAAACTCCACTGCTCCTGCTAATATACCACCCTTCTCCAATCTTCCATTTACTATAAATGTTAAAGTACACTCCTCCAGCTATCCTGTATTTGTAGCTTAAGCTTTACTATACGTCAGAGGTCACAACCTTTATAGTTATCTTGATGGCACAATCTCCATTCCAAAGAAATAGATTTCTCTAACTACACCGGTGTCTTTCAAAAATTTCCAAATCCTTAATATCATTAATGGCTTCGTCAGGATTCCTTAATCCTAGCCACCATCAACTCCTCCCTCACAGAAGATGAAAATGTACTCACTCAAGTTATGTCCTACACGTTGTCCTACATCACCTCTCATGAGGTATGGCTTGCATTTAAGCGCGACTTCTCCTCCGTTACTCGTGCTAAAGTGATCCAAATTCAAACTCAATTAACTAATGTTAGAAAAGGTGCGCTGACAACTAATGCATATTTCCTTTTTATCAAAAGAATGGCTAACGAGCTTGTCCTTGCTAAACAACCTCTCACAAATGATTATATTATCACTTATGTTCTTGCAAGACTTGGTTAGGAGTATGATTCCCTGGCCTCCACAGTTACCTCAAGACTCAATCTTGTCAATTTGGAGGAAATTTACACTCTACTTCTCATATGTAAATCACTGATCAATCATAATAATTAACCTCTTCAAATTGCCGCTTCTGCCAATCTGGTCACCACATAACTCCAGTAGCACACCCACCAACACGAAGCCTTTTAATATTCCAATTGTAATCGCGGTAACTATCGTGGTCGAGGACGTGGAGGATGTTCTCACTTTCATGATTCCAGCCAATCAAACTCTGTTATATGTTAGGTATGCCTTAAACCAGGACATAGTGCTCACAAATGCTATCATCGCTTTGATTTATCTTATCAGGATCAAAGATATTTTCATGCATGTTGGTGGGTAACACCGGTGTCTTTCCAAAAGATTTTCATGCATGTTGGATCTATTTACATCCATTTGATCATCATAAGCTTGATTTTTTATCCAAAAACTGCATTTTTATTAGGTATAGTATTGGTCATCGAGGTTACGAATGTCTAGATATCTCAACATGAATAATTTTTTTGTCCCGTCGCGTTGTCTTTAAAGAAAATCTCTACCCATATACCAAAACTAAACAAATCAATCTTTCATCAAATACTAATTCCATTTCTCTACCATCCAATCTCAATTTATCTTCTGCTAGTTCTTCTTTTTCTGCAAATGACCCTTCAACATCTATTACACCAAGCAATCTGAATATGGTCTCCTCATCTAGTCTTTCACATGATCATTGTATTGATTTGGGCTCTCCTGTAGTGGATATCACTCAGCCTTAAAATGATGATAGTCTACCCCAAGCTCTTTTACCTTCTCCATCTGCTCCACCAAAACAATATACATAAGCCTAAACTACCATTTGATTCCCATGTCAAATATCTCATTCCTAAAGCCTTTCTGGCCACATTCTAAACACTAGAATGAGAATTAACTTGCTACACAGAAGCTGTTAAAAATCCAAATTGAAGAGCTGCTATGAATAAAGAGTTTAATGTATTACAACAAAATGGAACTTGGAATTTAGTTCCCAAACCAACTAGTGCTAATCTAATTGGATGTAAGTGGGTATATTGGATCAAAAGGAAAGCTGGTGGTGATATTGAAATATTTAAAGCAAGACTTGTAACCAAAGGTTTTCATCAACAAGAAGAAGTTGATTTTAACGAGATGTTCAATCTTGTGGTGAAACCAACAACAATAAAATTAACTCTATCATTAGTTGTATATTGTGGTTGGCATCTTAGACAAATTGATATCCAAAATGCTTTTCTATCTGGTTACTTCCACGAAGATGTTTACATGGTTTAACCTCTCGGTTTTGTTCACTTTTTAATTCCTAAACCATGTTTACAAATTGGACTTGTGATTGGGGCATTGGTAAGTATAGGTTGCTGATAGTGACGAGTATAAAACTACTTGTGTGACGAGGTATGGCTCATACGAGTTTTTAGTTATGTCATTCAGCCTAACAAATGCTCCAGCAACATTTTACAATCTAATGAATGATATGTTATATAATTTCTTAGATAATTTTATGGTAGTCTACTTATATGCCATTGTAATCTATAATTGAGGCATAAAAGATCATGTAACTCATTTTTCTAAAGTCTTAAGTAGATTAAGAGAATATGAATTGTTTGTGAAAAGAGAAAAGTGTGAGTTTGCAAGGACTAAAATTATGTTCTTAGGCCATTTGATTGGAGAAGGATAGGTGAAGATGGATCCATGAAAGATTCAAGCCATTATTAAATGGTCAGTACCAAAATCAGTCCCAGAACTGAGATGATTTTTAGGGTTTGCAAACTACTACAAGCGATTCATTGAGGGCTATACAAGAAGACAACTCTTTTCTCAAATCTTCTAAAGAAGAATCGGAGATGGGAATGAACATTTGATTGCCATTAAGCTTTTCAGAAGCTAAAGACAACAGTAGTGTCAGCTCTAGTTTTGGGGCTGCGTCATTTAAAGAAGCCATTTGAAGCGCATACCGATGCTTTGTATAGGGCCATTGGTGGAGTGCTTGTACAAGAGGGGTATCTAATTGCTTTCAAGAGTCAGAAGCTAAATGACGCGGAACAAAATTACTCCACATATGAGAAGAAGGTGACAATAGTAATGCATTACCTTGACATATAGAGAGTATATATGTTAGGGCTGAAATTTATTATCAAGACTAATAATATTACTAACATATTTTTCAGGAAACAAAAGAAAGTATCATAGCAACAGGCTCGATGGCAGGAATTCTCGGTCGAAAATGATTGCATATGGGAGCACAAACTAGGAAGCCACAATCAAGTTGCGGATGCACTCAACAGACACGAGGTAATTATTAATATTCTTGCTATTGTTCAAGTAAAGTCGAACATATTAGGTTGACTTTGTCAAGCTATTGGGGAAGACACAATGTATAAGAAGATGGTTAAGCTTGTACGAGAATGGATAATATAAAGGTATTGGTTGGAACAATACTAACTCTATATAAAGCAGGGTTGAATCTTCGTACTAAAAGGAGAGGTGCAGAAATATTTAATAAGTCTGCAGTGGGTTGGACATCCAGGTAGGAAAAGGATGGTTGCTCTCTATCGTAGACTTATTATTAGCTAAAGATGGAGGACAACGTAGAAATTTACATCAGAACTTGTCTAATGTGCTAACAAGACAAGACTTTACGGTAGCGAGAGGCAAGTTTGCTACAGCCACTGCCAATTCCAAACAAGCCTTAGGTGTATGTTTTAATGGACTTCATAGTTGGGTTTCTGAAGGTGGATGACATAAACATTATCATGGTTGCCATAAAAGGATTCATCAAGTATGCGGTGTTTGTGGCTGCCCTGATGGTGTGTACAGCTGAAGTGGCTTCTGAATTATTATATTGTAACGTGGTGAAGTATTTTGATGTACATTTTGACATTATAAGTGACACGACCAAAAGATTGATGTCTTCTCCCAAGTGTAGGAGTGTCGAAGTAATAAATAACCCGGCAAGACCGGGGTCGAACCACAGGGAGGTTAATTGTACAAATTATAAACAACAATTATAAACAACAATAATAACAATAACAATAATAATAATAATAATACTAATAACAATAATAATAATACTAATACTAATAATAATAGTAGTAGTAGTAGTAGTAATAATAATAATAATAAAGAAAAAGAAGGAGAAGAAGATGAGAACTTTAAGAAGGAATATTAATGTAATGATTAAATAATGATAATAACAAATGTCAAGGTTAGAGATTCTACTAATGGTATGTCAAACAAGTATAATATAAACTCTTATTATTCAATTGGAAACCACATATAAAGGAGGTTCCAATCAGATTATAGATTGTTAATATGATTACATTAGTCATCTTATTCGATTAATGCTAATACTTGTAAATCTCGTCAAGCATTCATGATTATAACTTATGTTAACAACAAATCAAGTTCCTTTCATAGCTCAGGTGTCGGTTATACCATACAGTATGAACTATGAAAGTGCCAAGCATTTGTTGTACCAAATGTTATACAATATAAATCAAGATTAGTTATTTAACAAGCAAAGTATTAAAGAGTGAACAAGATAACAAATATAAAACATGTTAGTATCAAACATTAAAGTCCATATTAAGTTTACATTATATTTATTCTTACACCATTAGTGTAACCTTTTCACCTTGACATAACTAACTTAGCTAGACATAATGAAAGAAAGCAAAATAGATAAACAAAATAAGAACATAAAAGTTAACTAAGTAAAGGAAAGGAAATGAAAGGCATAAACTTAATATTAATGAAAACAAAGCATAAAAAATACAAAGAGAGAAAGGAAGAGCATGATCTTGATCTGAACACCAAGATGCCTAAATGCATGGCAAATGCCTCCTTTTATAGGCCAAAATTAGGAACTATTGATTTGATGACTAATTGATAAGTGGGTGGTCAACTCTTGACTTGGTGACAATCCTTATCTTCTCTTGTCTACCCAAAACGTCATTGATAACGTCAAAATTGGAGCCACTCAAAAACATGAAAGTTGTAGGCAATTGTCTCAGCTATCTTGTGTAACAAATTCAGCTCATTTAGACTTCTAGAACTCCAGATATGGCCAAAATACTGAATAGTACTCGGGCTGGAGGACAAATTCGGGCTTCTCTGTTGTTGCTACAATTTGGACTTGAAAATGACCTTTTTAGATCTTGAGCTCCATATGAAAGTTGTAGGACTATGTCTTACCTTTCTATCCATATAAAATGGACCTAGATCTGAAATTCATAGCTCTAAATATGACCTAATTACCGAACAGTGTTCCGGTTTGGATTGCACCGACATCTCTT